GAGGAGGTCCTCATACGGTGTGGGAAGGGAGTGGGTCCTGCAGTGCTTGCCTTGGAGACAGGGCTGTGTCCCTGTTGCTGGTCTCATTTCTATCTCTCCTGTTGAGCAGGAAGGAAGGAGGGTTTCTCCTTGGTGGATATTGCAGGTTGTGACATATGTTGGCCTCAGGGCACTGTTCTTCACCCCTAGGGCAGAATGGACAGGTGACCTGGGCCATGGTGTTTATTACAGAGTTGTTTGAGGGGGTCCCAGTTTAACCCTTCACCTTCTAGCACCTCTCACAGGACAGGACAGCTGTAGGGGAGGATGGCAAGGGGCCTTGGAGATGACATTGGCTCCATCAGTAATGTCCTTGGTCATAGCTCATGTCTCCAGGCTTGGTCCACCTTACCTGTGAGTGCGTGCCTGGACATGGGCCATGGTCACATGTGTCCTGTGTGAGGATGTAACCCCTTGTGTCCACTGGTCTGTTGGAGTTGCTGCTCTGTGAACCCTGCCACCTGCAGCCCACCAGCAGCCCCTTACTGTCACCTTGCTAGAAGCTCCTGGGGATGCCAATTTTATTTTATTTTATTTTTGGTACCGGGAATCGAACTCACAACCTTGTGCTTGCCAGGTAGGTGCCGTACCGCTGAGCTAAATCCCCAGCCCCAGGATGCCAATTTTAAATAAGCTATATTCTGTAGTGTGGAAGATTGTGTCTGACTTTCTCTGACAGAGATAAGGATAACTAACTTGAGTCTGAGAGTAAACCAGGCCTTCTCCCCTGGAGACTTTGGGGTGCTCGGAAAGGCCCTGTGAGTGCTCGTTGGTGGCAGGTGTCCTGCCCATCAGCACCTCCAGTGGGCTGAGACCGTGATGTTAACACCTGGGGAGGGTATGTGGACCCTTCTGAGGCCAACCTGACCTGTCCTCACTCCTGTCTCCTCTTGTCTGTTTCCAGGACCCCTGCTTGCCTGGACCTGTCCCCGCAGCTGTCCCTCGAGCCTCTGGAGTGGCTGGAGAGCAGGGCACGTCTCCCAAAGTCCCGCTGCCCCTGAATGTGTGAGCGTCCCCTCCTACCTGCCATGTCCTCCTTCTGGCGCCCCGTGCACACACACAGCAGTGCACATGTGGCTCCATCTGGGGTGTCCAGGGGATGACCAGCTGGTCAGTGCCGTAGCATGCATCTGCAAGGCTGCCTAGAGGATAAAGTGCAAGCCTGGCAGGGTCTGTAAAGTCACAGTACCTGGGAGTAATGATGTAGGAATTGCAGCTACCACAGCCCAAAGCAGGCCTCAGAGTCTGGGTCTGGGATGGTTGGGGAACGGTGGCCTCAGAGCTAGAGGCCATAGCCAGTGCCACTGCATAGCCTGCTGCATGCACACCCCACAAGTCACTCACAGAAGGGAAATGGTTATCTTATCTATTAAATTACAGATCGTAATTATGTAGAGATACATATGGGCCAGGGAGATCACTTAGTGGCATAGCGCCTGCCTGACAAGTGAAAAGTACTGAGTTCAATTCCCAATACCAAGAAAAAGAAAAAGAAAGATGCATACTATTTAAAAAGAAAGATACAGGGACTAGGGATTTAGCTCAGTGGCCCACCTGCCTGGCAGGCGCTATGTCATGAGTTTGATTCCTGGTACCGGAAAAAAAAAAAAAAAAAGAAAGATACATACTATTTAAAAAGCCTCCATTTCAGTAGTGTCCTGAAGAATTAGGCCACCTCTGCGTCTGCACTGGTGATGAGTAGTTTAGTCTGGGGGGCGAATAGGTGCCTCAGGGTGGAGCTTTTGACTTCAGCGGACAGAAGAGTGCGGACAGAAAGCTTCACCCACCTGGGTGCCTCAGACGCTCATTCAGAACCTGTGTGGTTGTAGAATGGAATGTATTTTAGGGGGAAAATGCTTTGAAGAAAGCAATACACCATGTCTCCAAGATCTCCAAGGGCTCTGCCGTGAGGACACCCACACCGGCCTCCTGGGCTAGCCGTGCATCAGCTGCACATGGAGGGGAGCTCTGAGCACCTCCCTTTGCCTGCCTAACCTGCAGGTTCACCAACTCCATGAAAGAAGGTTGAGATTCCCCAGTTTCTGCCTGGCTCCCAAGAGGAACATGGATCAATAAGCTGCACTCCAGGCGGCTTTAGGTTAAACCTGAGTTTTCACCCTGCCATGCCTGTGGGCTCAGCCTATGTGGAATGACACACGGGGGTCGGGGTCGTGCTGTGCTGAGCCTCGCCTGGCATGCACATGGCCCTAGGGGCATCCCCAGAACAGGAAAACCCAAAAACTTACGAACAGCAAAATTTGAACTTCTGTTCCAAGCCCTCCATACATGAAGTGATGTGTGGGCACCATGTGCCGTGTCATCAGCCATCCAGGGATGGTTTAAAGTCTGCACCGATCTGTGTGAGGGACCCAGCACCTGCAAGTCATGGCGTCTGCAGGGCCTGTGGTCTTTGGACCTTCTCCTGGACCCACTTCTGCAGTCTCACTGTAGTCAAGGGCTGGAGAGACACGGGGGAAGTGCACCCAGGACATTGTCCCCGAGGAGCAGACCCATGTTACCAGGGGGGCCCCATGCACTTCCCCACAGGAGAGCAGGGCACAGGCTGTGTGACAAGACTTCATTCTGGCTCCGCATGCTGCACATGGATTCCCTGATCCCTGGGCGCAGGATGCCCTCCTCTCCATGTCAGCTCCAAGAGTGCCCTTTACTCCTCAGGAGCTGGGGACACGTGGATATGCCTCCATGTCCTGGATGGCTCTTGACATTGGGAACGGTGGGGGCAACCTCTCGGTCCCCCAGGTCCCTCTGCTGCCACAAGACGAGGTCGCTGGGACCCTCACCTCCAGGCACAACTGCTGTTTAGCTTGAGATTGTATCTGAGCAAAAGGGAGGGACACTCATGCATCAGAGGATATCCTTCTGAGGATGACAAGGACTCCTGGTGACTCTGCATGAAGCAGAGGAGTCAGGGCATGGTGAGCCTGGCCCTGAGACTGTGAGGACATCTGAGCCATGCTCAGGCACACCTAGAGTGACACACGGGGTTCACTGAACACCGTGTTTGCTGTTTTTCTTAGAGTGTAAAAAGTTATCTTTGCCCCTAGTGTATCAAGGCCCAGCCTGACCCTTGCTACCCTCTTGAGCTCTGAGAAACCAGCGTCTCCAGGGTGCTAGGGGAAGGCACCAGGACGGGGGTATGATTGCTCCTTGTTGGTTATTTCCCCAAACAGATTCCATAAGTCACATTCAAAGTTGGAACTTGGTCTTAGGTGAACTGACGGCACAGAAACAGCTGCAGCACTGCACCACTGTGCTGGCATCTAGAGGGTGGCGGCCTTGGGGTACGGGCCACAGCCTGATGGGTTGACTGTCGGTTGTTGAATAGCTCTGGAGATCCCATGATCCTCCTCACCACGGGTCTTTGTCTTCTATGGCTACGTGCTGGGCCCAGGGGCCTGAATGAGGACCACACTCGGGCTGTGCTGCTGGCCGCAAAATCTGTGTGCTGCCGCTGTCCTAGCACACGAGGTCCCTGGCATTGGTCTCCTGGTCTTGAGGTGCCCTGTGCTGGAAGCTCTTGGGGTGCAGCCTACCTGCAGAGATGCTGCCCCACAACCCCACAGCCTTCCTTCCCACCCATGGTGTTGGGGTTCTCTCCGATATTTTGCCTTTCACTATTGTTGTCATCATCCTGAGGCCCGTGAGCATCCAGCACTAGGCCACACCCAAGGACACTGCACCCCACAGAGAAGGAAGTGGGCCCCCAGAGCCACTGGCCTCCCTGTGCTTGTGGGCGGCCCACCTAGGGCCTCCCCAGGGACACAGTGGGACTCCAGGCCTGAGACACAGACTGCAAACTTCCCAGGAACCCCTGGAGCAGGCAAGGAGTGAGAGGGCCCAGTGCTATAGACCATGGGCGAGGGGCCAGGCGTTCTGCATGGGGAGATGCGAGTCCCCGAGCTGCCTCCCTGCCTTGGGCTCTGTAACACTGAGAACCACCTAGCAGAGCCCAGCTCACTCAACTAAGTGCAGGAGCCGGAGCTCAGAAGAGCGCTGCCAGCTTGGTTGGGGCTCTACCCTCAGGAAGAGGCAGTGGCCACCATGTGCCCAAGCCTAGCACCTAGTCACTTTGCAGCACTGAGCTGGGCTGTGGGGCCAGCAGTGACCCTGTGCAGACCTGGGCCTTGCTGTCCTGCTATCTGTCACCTGTGGCAGGGAAGCACCCTGGTCTCTGTACCCCTCTTGCTGCCCTAACCATTGGGAGCCACCTCTAAGGGGAACAGCAGTGCTTGAGACAAAGGTCCCCGTGCACCAATGGCCCTGGCTGGAACAGAGTGGAAACAGCCATCTCCACAGGAGGGACAGGACAAAACCTCTCTAGACTAGGGCAGAGGAGAGCCAGCGCAGGCGCCAGCAAGTGACTGCTGAGCCCCTGCTCACCGTGATGAGAGCAGAGTGCAGTCTGCAGGAGACAGGACGGCTGGGCTCACACAGTTTGGGTGTAAGAGGGTGTAGCAGGGCCTCATGGAGCCCCAGCGCCCGCCTGGCCATCTGTACATTAGGCACCACATCAGGCACCTGTGGAGGCTGAGATGAGGACGTGCAGCCCACATGCGTCTGGCCTGGCCCGTGCTGGCCCTGGGACCTGTGCCAGGAGGCCATTGTACAAGTCACTGTGGTTGTCACTGGAGCTGGGAAGTGGCAGGTGCCAAAGGTGGCCTGCCAAGAGTCAGAGGTGGGTGGAGAGGGACAGGTGACTCCCTGGGCACAAGCGGCTCTTCCAGTGCTGCCCACAGACATTCCCTTGAGTGACTTGGGAGAAACACATGCAGGTGACCCCCCCCCCGCTGTGCCCCACCCCCGCACGGGCCGCGTGCCTGGCGCTCTGCTGCCTGCACAGCAGAGCCCTCGGCAGCCTCATGCACACTGGTCTCACCTCTGAGACACCCTAAGAGGAATGAGGAAGAGAGGGAGGAAGAGAAGGAGGAGAAAAAAGAGTAACAGGACAAGAGGAGGAAGTGGTGGAGTAAGAAGAGAAAGAGGGAAGAGGAACAGGAAGAAGAGGAGGAAGAGAGGGAGGTGGTGGGGGAAGAAGAGGAGGAGGGTTTTGGGGCCAAGGAGGTTTGTTCACATCTGCAGTCCCCAGCAGTGTACCCCGGGAGGCCAGACCTGACCTGAACAGAGGAGAAAACACATTTGCAATGCAGACGAATTGGCCAAGCAGGTCGCTGTGCAGACCGTGCAGCCTCCCTATGTGAGGGCCACACTGCCCACGTCCAGCTGTGTGCCTGGGCCACACTGCCCACGTCCAGCTGTGTCCCTGGGCCACACTCACGGCTTCCCAGACCCGGATCTGTTCCCCTCCAGATACAGAGGAGCATGGGCAGAGTCCTGGTCTCCCGACTTCACTTCCCCCAGCCGTGGGACCATGGGGTTCCTGTGGCGTACAGACAAGGCCTGCTGTCTGCAAGCGGCAACAGTGCCCCGCCCCCCCCCACCCTGTCCCTCGGCAGCCCGGTGGACTCAGCTCTGGTCAGAGCACAGGGTAAACACGGCTCAGAACACCAGCGCCTGAGGGCTGTCTGCAGCAGAGAAGCTAATAAACAGAACTCCGTTGATCTGCACGTGGGGGGCTAGGGCAGGCACATGTCCAGGTGCCTTGCTTAGGGAGGCTTCCCTCTGCCAAGGAGGCAGGCGTCCTGTTGAAAAGGCTGAATGTGGCACAAAATCTGAGCCTGTCCTTCTGCAAACTGGAAGGACGGCTCTCACAGAGTGCGCCTCAGGAAACGGCATGTGGCAGAGCACTAGTGTCTGCACCCGGGGGCTGCCCCATACAGCGGGTCATTGGGCACTGAGGGCAGCATGCTCGGCCAGACCCCTCTTAATTTCCCGTTTTCCTGCCTGTGTTATTATATTAGGAACCAAGTCCCTGCTTATTTGACAGAATGTTTTTCTGACCTAAAGGTCTTCAAATGACTTGAAACCTATATATAAAGAGTCTTCATCTTTAATTTGATGAGAGGGACAAAAACACAAAGTCCTTGTCCTGGTAAATGAGCAGGAATCCTACAAGAATGAGTGAAGGTCATCGGCTCCTCCCCAGGCCATGAGCTCTGTCAGCTGATTCTGACGGCCGCTGGCATTTGTCGCTAGTGCCCACACTTGCTCTTCTATTCAGGGCAGAGTCCCAGCTGAGAGGGAGAAGCTGACTGTGCCCATGGAGCCAGCCAGGTGGGCATAGTGAGGTTCACAGAGGCCTGTTTATGGCTGTGAACGCCCATGCCTGTGCTCACGCAGGACCAGCTTAAGCTCAGTCTCAAATCCAGGGTCCCTGTTTTGTTTTTCCTTCAACAAATATTCCTTGAGAATCTACCCTGTGCCTAGAACTGAGGAGGTAGTGCTGAGCCTTGCAGAGTGTGCAGTGTGGAGGGGCCGAGGTGCAAGTACCGGGCAGAGACAGTGGGCTACGTGGTGCACGGGGGAGCCTGAGCCATGAGTTGGGCCCTCAAGCGAGCAGAGCTGCTCAGATACTGCGCCCCAAAGGAACAACTGTCTTGTGGGTGCACTCTGGAGGAGCTGGGCCAGACAGGTCACTGCAGGGCAGAGAGGTGGCCCTGCCAGCCTGGCCTTCCCTCAGCAGTGTCCCTCAGCAGGGCTGAGGTTTGGGCAGCCCCTGAGTCTGGCTCGAGCAGAGTGTGGGGCGCCAGGCTCCTCGTTAAGCAAGCCAGTGTCCCTGAGTGAGGCGCTTGGATGTGTCCCTGCCCCAGCCCCTCACTCGCAGACACTGGGGAGGTGGCAGCTGCGCTCAGGCTTGGATATGCTGCTGTGGCCTAGTAGAGGTGTCCCAGCATGGTGACAGCCTGGTGATTCCAGCAGATTCACACTGCATTTTCTTTCCTGAGGGTGGTTGGCAGCACCAGTGGGTGTCATTTCTGTCACCTCTACTGTCTCCCTCCATGCAGCCATCACTGCCCCCTCCCCTCCTTACCCACACAGCACATGGCCCAGAGGGGATGCCTTCCCTACCTACTGTCTTCTCCCAGAGCCCTTGGCAGTTGTCACACGCCAGGCTGTGCCCTGGCTCTCTTTTGTCTGGGCTGGGGACATTATGAATCTATAGGCCTGTGGTCCCCTGATGACTTTGTGTGTCCTGCCCAGGCCCCAACTTCTGTCTCCACAGGGAAGGATGTGTCTGGTACGATGTCCCCAAGGGATGCTGAGAGCCAAAGCTGTACATACCCTTTACCTTGTGGCACCAGAGGGCCTCACGACTACAGGGTTGGGATGTTTGAAATGGGTAGACAATTATAATTTAAGGCCAATAAATTATTAGCGTCAACAGGGTTCTCTTTCTGTTCTAGAATATTCCTCAGGATGGGAGTGTGGTTCAGTCATAGAGCCAAGAGTGAGGCACTATATTTGATCCCCAGCACCACAAAACACAACTTGTCTTTAAAATATTCCTCTTCTTTGAGTTTGACCCTAGGGAGCTGGGCTCCATTTCTGTTTCTGACTCCTAAGAAGGCCCTTCCTGGAGTTGGGGTGCTGTGCAATCCTTGGGCCCCTGAGCCCCAGAGCCCTGTCCTGCAGGAGCCAGGAACCCACAGCTCCCAGGTAGGGTCAGCTTGTCCACCAAGCAGCCAGTCCAGGCACCAGATCCTAGAGTTACCTCTCCTGGAATTCATCTGTCACCTCTTGTGGGGCTGAGACCTCATCAACCAGGGATCCCTAGACTTCTGCAAGTTTATGTGTCCTCACCAGCACGTCAGTGTTCCCAGAGGGGCTTGCCCTAAGGGCTGTGGCTAAACAAAGCCCAGGCCAGGGTTGCTCCACTAAGTCAGCCTAAAAAAAAAGCAGAAGTCATTGTCCAGATACAGCGAGGAAGTGTGCACCAAGCATCCCCAATGGAGGCCACCGTTCTGCAGCAAAGACCCCTGTGCTGTCCCGGATAAGCCGGCATGTGAACCAAGCCAGGTCCTGTAGAGTGGGGAAGGCCCATCCTGGGATACTGGCCTCACACTCGATTTTCTCTAAGGGTCTCTCCTCCTCAGAGCATGGGACTCTGGACAGCATGAAGCATATGGAAACATTGTGAAGTGCCGAAATGGGGCCCCAGATCCAGCCCTGGGCCTTGGAGCCACAGCACACTGTGCCAAGATCACAGTCCCGCTCCTTCTCCAGGGCTTCTGCACAAGCACAGGGTGGGAGGATGTGTGACTCTGTAGTGGCAGAGGCCCAAGCGTGAGCCCTGTGTGCCCCGTGCCTGCCCTGCAGCCACCATGGAGGCGTGTATTGACCTGGTCCTTGTCTTGTCTCCGCCTTCAGGTACCTGGCCCTCTATGCCTACAAGCCTCAGAAGAGCGACGAGCTGGAGCTGCGCAAGGGCGAGATGTACCGCGTGCTGGAGAAGTGCCAGGATGGTTGGTTCAAGGGTGCCTCATTGCGCACTGGGCTGTCTGGGGTGTTCCCTGGGAACTACGTGACACCTGTCTCCAGGTGAAGGTTGCTGCCTGTTCCCTGGTGCTTTGGAAACTGCAGGAGGCCATACTGGGGTGGGCTGGGCTGGGCTGGGCCAACAAACCCTCCCTGCAGGCAGCTCCCCTTCAGCGAGGTCTGACTGGCTCCCTCCAGGACCCCGGCCAGCAAGGAGCCAGACTTGAGGGGAAGGGAGATCACCAGAGAGCCAGGCTACAAGTGTGCGTTGTGCTCATGTGTTCATTCTACACAGCATATGCAGGGGAGTAGTGCACTGTGCAGCACGTATGCACATACGTGTGCATGCACATGTGCAGGTGAGGGTGCCTATGAGGCACAAGTGCATGCCTGTGCATGCTGGGCTCCTGTGCACATATGTGCATTTGCAGTGAGTGTGCCACCTTAGTGTCAGTGGGCACAGTGTTCATGTCTGTGCACAGCACGTACACGCTGTGGTGTGTGCACCTTCACACATATGTGAAAGCACACCTGCAGAAAGGAAGGGTGAAGCATGCTTTGAGCAGAAGCATTATTAGCAATTTAATTTTTTTCTTTGTTCCTTCTAGTTTCTTAGGAATTCTGGGTTATACAATGTTTGTAAATGTTTATAAACATTATGCAACAGAAAGGGCAATTTTACAGATTTGCTGAAGTGACAAAATTTCCCTCCAAGCAGAGGGTCAGTCTTGCCCACGGCAGCCCTGGGGCTTGGCCCTGTGTCTCCTCCACTTGGGGCGTGCTGGTGATCCGAGGACCCAACCTCAGGGCTCACTTGTCCTGGGAGGAGGACTATGAGGGTATTCAGTGATGCTGGGCCTTAAAGGATTGCAGATGGGTTCTTGCTGTCATGGTGGCTTTGGAAGGCACAGGAGTAGATTAGGTTAGGACCTCAGGGTGGATTCCATGGTTCAGGGGTGCTCCTACAGGGCACGGGGTTTGCAGGAACAAAGGAGGCTTGTGGGAGAGGCTCCATTCAGGTGATCTTAGCAGGGAGAAGTCTGAGAAGCCCCTCTGTCTACCATGGCCATATAAGGAGAAGCTCACCCAGGCCTGCAGCCAGGCTGGATCTCAGAGAGGACCTCCACCCTGGCTTGCCCCTATGCACACTCATAGCTGATCATCCATCACCCACAGCCAAGCCTGCCATGAGGAAACCCTGGCGGGCTCAGGCGGCTGATGAGCACTAAGACGGTAGCACTCTGGTGGGGCATCTCCCCCACCAGGTTAAGTGCTGAGGTCCTTGGCACTTGGGCCCAGCTGTTCCTCCACTCATGTCCTTTACCAGTGGAGACAGAGCACCCAATGGGACTCCTTGGAATGCTTCCTGCCTCTTCCTACCACTGGGAATGGCCTGACACCCTGTTCCAGGAGCCAGCTAGGCCTCTGCTGTGGGAAGGCTGCCCTGTGGCCTCTCCAGGGCCACATGTCCCCAGTGGGCTGTTGTTGAGAGCAGCTCATAGTTACTCTCAGTGCAGCTTTGTCCCTGGGCTCCTTGCATGCTATATATGTGTACCAGGTGCACAGTAAATGCAAGTTGAATTAATAAAGGAAATCTGAGTTTGACTCAAATGTCATCCCAAGGGCTCTCTTCCCCTACTTCCCAGGTCTTCCTTGTAGGCCAGAGGGTACTGCTGGCCAACCCTGAGCTGCAGAAGGACAGCACTGGACCAGGGCCCTGCGGTGACCCTTCTCTCACAGCTGTGGGCAGAGCCACCCTTGACAGTGTAGGCCCCTCCCAGGCTGGTCCAGGTCCCGTGGTGCCAGTGGAGGGTCGGAGAGGTCAGAGCCTGTTTGCTCCCATGCCGCTCCAGTGTCTGTGAGAGACGTCCTGGAGGGATAGGGACAGGAGGCTTCAGCCTGGCAGAGGAAAGATACCCCAGTATCCGTTGCTTTGAATCCCCAGACTCTGTCTTGCCCTCATCCCAGGAGCCAGATGTGGGCAGATGTGGGTGTGTACAGGGGTTTAAAAGGCCCCCACAGTGGCTGGGGTTCTCTGTGGACAGCGGCATCACCTGGAAGCTTTGGGGTGAAAAACTCTTCTTTCTGGTGTCAAACTGCACGTCCTTGGCATCCTCAGGAGGAAGCTGTGCTGCCTGTTTCTTGTTCCCACTCCGCCCACCAGACGTGATGGGGTCACCCACTGCTTGAGCTGTTGTTAGGATGAGTGGAGGCCGTGCTGTGGTAGTAGACATTGGGCTGGAATCGCTCTGTCCCTCGGGACTCCCTTGCTGTTTCTTTAGTGTGCAGCCCGGCTTTGTAAAGCATGACTTCTGCTCACCTGGAGCGCTGTCAGGCATTGGTTAGGATTTTTCTGGGCCTCCTCCCTCCATCTCTCAGGGCCCATAAGTGACAGTGGCCCTGACTCATCCAGGTATCCCCTGACTAGACTCTGTTTGCTTCCTCAGGGCTCCTGGAGGAGCAGCTGGGCCACCCCGGAATAGTGTGCTTGGAGGGTCTCCTCTGGCCAAAGGCATGGCCACTACTATGCACCCTGGTGGGGGCAGCCTGAGCAGGCCGGCCCTGCCGCTCTCCACACCACAGGCCCAAGCCCTGAATCCAGCTGGCTCCCCACCGATGGGCAGCTGTCCCCGACACACAGCCCAGCCAGCCACTGGCCAGACGCGGGGAGCTCTCTCTGCAGGTATGGATGTGGATGCCGGGACCTTGGGGCAGGGACACTAATGTGAAGGACAGACATCATAAAACATGTTTTGGCCCAGGTATTGAGCAAGCCACCATGGGACAAGCTGATTCTTGTCATAATCTTCATCTGCTGATCTCTGGGAAGCACACTTGCTGTGTTACTCTATCCTGGCAGCAGAAATGAGCTAGGGAATTCACAAGTTTTGCAGGTGGGTGGCAGGGGGACCTTATGGACTAGTAAGAATAGCATGGCACCTTGAATGTCCATAGAAGGAAACTGGGCTGTGTGGAAGTCCCCACTTGGGGGCATTTCAGTGTCCCCAGCAAGGCAGCATCTAAGAACCCATGGTTAGCACAGGTCAGAGGTCCCTTCTCAAGCGCCTGTGCCTGGAAGGAAGGTGCTCACTTACGGCAATATTATCAATCCCTACACTGGTCAGACTCGAGGAAAAAGCCAGTTTGGCCCCAGAGTGGTGTGAGAGGACATCAGGGGTAGACTTTAAGGCATCAAGAGGGTAACCATCTCTTGCCTGGAGGCTGAGCACTGAGCTGATGAGCCCTGCTGAGGTTGGGTACAGCCGCTCTGGGGCATATGCCACACAGCCTTCCAAGCCACAGCAGAAGCTGCCCTGATCAGAAGCTGCCCTGAATGTCCCTTCTCAGCCCATCCTGATCCTCTCCGAAACCATCAAGTGGGGCTGAAAGGGCAAAAGGAACATAAGTCCTCTGGAGCCATAAAACACAGGGAGTGACCCATTGTATGTCCCCAGAGAGCGGCTTCCTGGGTGTGAATAGTTGAGATGGTATAGACATAATGGAGGCTACTTTTCCTTGAGTCCCAGCTGAAAAGACAAAGGGTGGACTAGGGCCCCATTCATTGTCCACATGCCCACCACTGTGGCCTGCATATTTACATGTGGACACAACTCTTCTGTGGGCCAGGAAGAACTGGGCAGCTCTGCAGGAAGACCGAGTTGATGTGAACCCATGAGGACCCACAAGCCATATAGGGTGGATGTCACTCTGCTCCCACTCATGCTGGCTTAGCAGAAGGCTGGGGTACAGGAGGAGGGATGGTGTGGGGAAACCTGGGGGAAAGTAGTCCTTCCCAGAGTGAGCCCCAAAGTGATGCTCAGGCAGGGAGCCGTGAGGGGTGTGTTTTAGGTAGAGGAAGGACAGTCAGGAGGGCAAGAGTGGGAGACAGTGGGCTTTGTACAACTATAGGCACTGGGCCCTCTTCACCTGCCACTCACTGTGCTTTAGTTCCGGGAGCCCAGCTGCCCAGCAGGACAAGAACAGGACAAGATAGTTTAGAGGATACAAGGCCCTGTTCATACAAATTTCATCACAGGATCTTGTTATAATTGTGCTCTGCCTGATACACAGATTACACTGTGTCTTAGGTGACAAAGCACACAAGGGTTCACCATCCACTGGGTTTCCAAATGCACCAGTGGCAGCCTGAAAGACCTGGGCTCAAAAGCTCCCCCTTTGTGAACGGAGAGCACACTGACATTCCCACCCTGGGTGGGTTGTGGAAGGGCTCCTGATCCTGTCAGTCGCTGTGTACTCAGTATGTCCTAGGTGCTCAGTCAGTGGAGAGGAGCGTTCAGTGCATGAGGGGTGAGAAGGAAAGAGAAATAGTTGCAAATCATCACCAAAGGGTCCAAGGGGTCGGAAGCTCCCTCAAAGGGTTCAAAGACCACTGGCCTGGCAGCCTGGCAGTGTGGCACAGGCAGCTGGAGAGAGCTGGAGGAACAGAGGCCAGCCTGTAAGGGGCAGTAGGACTGAACACTACGCCTCTCAGGAGTGGTGGCTCTGATTGAGGCAGGCAGTGCAAAGGTGCACATTGCAGAGCTGGGCACAGAGCCTGGGCACCAAGTCAGAGTCCAGGACTGGGATGGGTTAACTGGGAGAGGAAGGAGGGCATGTAGCCTGGAAAACACCAGAGGAAACTGCTGCTGGGGAAGGTAACAACCGAGGTCAGACACAAAGATGGAGAGTGTCAGGCTAAACCCCGAGGCACAGCTGAGACCACTTGAACAGGCTGAGTTGAGGCACACAGTGACAGCTTTATTTCAGACCAGGTGTGGTAGGGCCAAAGGTGAAAAGACCATTGGCCCTGAACGAGGGAATGAGGTATGCTTGAGCAAGGGAGGGGGTCTCAGTGAGGCAGATGGAAAATTCTACGTTTGTCTAAGGCTGTTGGTGGGCTTGGTGCACCTGGCTAGAAGTGCAGGATGACAGTTGTGGGTGTCCCGTGAACCCAAGAACCAGCCTGATAAGTAGAGTTATTTTGGTCTCTCAGGCTGGGTGGAAGGCTTTATGTTGAACAAAGTGGTAGGTCCATTGGGCTTTTCTCTGCAAGTTGGGCAGGGTCCAGTGTGGGGACCTAACAGGTGCCATGGGTGCTGGTCAGTGGGCTCAGGTGATGGGGGACAACCTCACTGTGCCAGCCTCACCTCACTCATCAGGACCCAGGTTTTGCACAGGGGAGGGCAACCGTGTGCTGGCTGCCCTGTAGGTGAGGAAGGATATTGCTTTCTATGTAAGGAAGCCGTGCAAAAAGTCAGCTTTTTAGGGGCAGCAAAATGGAGCCAGTTGCCTGGTGTCTGACACCCTCCTTTGATCGGGGTAGACCTCAGGTGGTGCTCAGCTGGCACTGAGGATGCCTTGCAGGCATCTGCTGTAGCACCTCCAAGACCAGTTCCACCAACCAGAGATCCCATGTGTTGGCACTAATCTTGCACATACAGCTTTTCTTTTTAAATTAGCCGTGTGTACCACCTGTGCTTTTATTCTTTCTGCAGCAGTGTCATCTGGTCCCAGACCCTGGACCCCAATCCCAACACCTTATTTTGCATTGAACTCAGGGTTCCTGTGTTCCTGTCAAGCCTGTGTGGTGGGCTTGTGACCTGGGGTCCTCAGCTCAGCTTCTGAAGAAGCTTGCCAGGGCACACACCAGGCAGGACCCAGGACGGGTGCTCCTGGGTGTGAGCCTTTCCTGTCCACCAGGCATACCACACACGTGTTCAGGCACCTGGCCCTGGCAAGGTAGCAGTGCTGCTCCTCACAAGGAGTGCACAGCCTGGCACCAAGCCCTCAGCCAGCTCTGTGGCCTCACCCTGCCAAACCAGCTGGAAAATTTCTCAGTTCGGGAAGAAAACCGAGCCCTCCCAGACACTTCTCCCTCTATGCATGAGCAAGCAGGGACCAAAGAAATTGGCAGGGCTGGGGCAGCACCACATTGTGTGGTGGCCCCAGCCTGTCACCATGGTAACCACCATGGCATGGCAGCGTTCCTTTCCATTGGATAATTTTACACTGGGAGAGTGAGGCACGGGATGGTTAAATGATCCCCTTCTGCATCCCAACCACATTGCTGTCACAGCCAGGTTACAGAACAGCTCCTGGCGAGGCATGTCAGTAAATTAAATGACCTGAGTTCCCACAGCATTTCCCACTTTATTCTACATTTAGGGAGTGGAAAAACGTTGTTGACAGGACAAGTAATGGATTGTTCCCTATAGTAATTGCCCATTTCAGTAGACCCCAGCCCCGCAGCTGGGAGGCATTTCAACAATGGTCTCGTCCCATGCCCAAGGCAGGCACTTTGACAAATCTTAATTGCATCGCCCACAGCATCCGATATGATTTGTTCTGCTCCGCTAACACCACTCCTTTTCCAAGGATGGCATTTTCCTGCACTCCATAAGGACTCCCATCAGCACTTGGCAGAGACAAGAGTCCTACATGGCCATTTATTTATCAACAAAAAAAGCACCAAAAAAGCTGAATATGGGCAAAGCACCCTGTGAAGGCTCAAAAGCACAGAGAACCAGACAGAGCCCATTTCTGCCCTTGTTAGAGGAAAGGGCAGGACAGGATATGAATTCCTGCTGCTGTGTGCAAAGCACTGGGATGGAGGCGTCACCAGGTTTCAAGCAAACAGGGAGCAAAGGGATCCATTCAGATCTGGGAGAGAAGTGGATGAGGTGGGAACATGTGTGGGGAATGTTCAGGAGGAGGCAGTGATGCCCAGAATCCCGGAGGAAACAGGACCATCTAAGCAGAGCGATGGGCAGAGGAACCAGCAGGGCATGGGTGGTGAGGAGGACCACTGTCTCCATGTTGTCAGCCTGTCTGGGTTTGATGGGACTGAAATTGACGTGGAGGGAGCAGTCCAGGGAGGAGGTGACAGTTCTGTGCAGGTGATGAGTGGGGGGTGAGCAGCTCTGGGCAGAGCCGAGGCCGGGCCAACCCCCAGAACACAGAGGCCAGGTGCACTTGGAGATGGGGTGAGGCCTGATCCTGGGCAGGATCCAAGAGGTCGTGTTACACCATGCAAAGGAATTGGGGTTTTTGTCCTAAGGACAGTGGAGCACATTGCAAGGTGTTAAATAATAGATACAGCTGGACTTGGATATTTGGGAGAACAAGTGGCCTGATGCCTGTGGCCAACCTGAAATGGTGTGATAGGGTTTATCCTCCTGCCTGAAAGAGCTGATCAGCACACAGTGTATAATAAAATGACAACTTCTGAGGCACCAGGCATCAGATCACCAAGGTGAGTTGTTAAACAAGGAATAAATGTGTTCAGAAGGCTAAATTAGAGATCCTAAAAAGATCCAGATCAAACTTCTAGAAATAAAACTGCAGTGTGTGAGATAAAGAATACACTGGAATTAATGGCACATTAGGCGTTGCCGAAGAAAAGCAGACGAGTGAACTTGAAGCTGTAGCAATAGAACACACAAAAATTGAAGCAGAGATAAAGAACTTTTAAAAAGCCTCAAGCATCAGTGAACAATGGGAACCTCTAAGTGGCCTGACATATGTGTAATTGGAGTCCTCAAGGAGAAGGAGAAAGAAGTGGGGTACAAAAGTGATGCCGAGAAATAAAGACCCAAATTGTCCTAAATTTGAAGAAAACTACACCCACAAGCAACTGGAGACAGTTACACCAAGACAAATCAAAATCCAATTGTTCAAAATCTG